AATCACACAGATAACAAACTAGTGGAGATCAGGAAACACATGGAGGAACAAAATAAGAGACTTAACAAAGAAACTGAAAGCATAAATTGAAGAACAAAGCATCTGAAATTAGAAAAAGCAAGAGAAACACTCAACAGTAGAGTTAAACAGACAGAAGATAAAATAAGTGAACTAGAAGACAAAATAACTGAAATTATCAAGTCTCAAGAGAAAAGAACAAAGAAAAGTGAACAAACCCAAAAGGAAATGTGGGATTCAATTAGGAAATCTAACATTAGAATAATTGGAATCTGAGAGTACCATGACAACAATAAAGGCACAGAAACAATTTTCCAAGAGATAATCAGAATTTCCCTGATCTGAACAGAGAACCAAGCCTGCAAATACAGGAAGCTACTTGAACCCCAATCAGAAGAGTCCCAAAAAGGTCAACTCTGTGACATATCCTAATAAAATTCTTGAAAACCAAAGACAAGGAGAGAATTCTGAAAGCAGCAAGAGAAAAATGCTATATAATATACCAAAGGTCTTTCGTAAGAATCAGTGTGGATTTCTCCCCAGAAATTCTAGAGGCCAGAAGTAAATGGAGTGACATATATAAAATACTGAATGAAAACAGTTGCCAACTAAGAATTCTTTACCCAGCAAAGTTGCCATTCAAAAATAAAGGGGAAATCAAGACATTCCCAAACAAACAGAAGCTCTGGGAATTTGGCACTACCAGACCAGCTTTGCTGGAAACCCTGGTGGCATAGTGGTTAAAAGCTATGGCTGCCAACCAAAAGGTCAACAGTTCGAGTCCACCAGGTGCTCCTTGGAAACCCTATGGGACAATTCTACTCTGTCCTATAGGGTCACTATGAGTCAGAATTGACTCAGTGGCAACGGGTTTGGTTTGTTTTTTTTAAGAACAGCTTTGCAAGTGTTACTTAAAGGAGTACTCCAAAAGGAAAGGCAATAGCATTAAGAAATAAGTGCAGAGTAAACTTATCAAATATAGATTGTATATTGATATTAATGGAGATGCAGCAACGTAAATGGGGGAGAGATGAGCATATCAGGAATAGATTTATTATGTTAAAGTTGTACGTTAACTGCTGTTCATATGTTAAATGTTGTTGTAATTATAAGTTGTGTAATGTAACATATGTGATAACCACTAAGAAATCACCAAGAAGAAACATTCAGAAGACAAAAAGGAAGATAACAAAAAGGCTCATCACAAGAAAGCTAGAAATCAACAGAATAAGGAAAAAAAAATACATGAAAACTGAATAATACACTACTATAAAATGAAATTAAAAAATTCCTGGAATCAAACAAAAATATCCAAACCTTTGGGAGCAGCAAAAGCAGTACTTAGAAGGAAATTTGTAGCAATAAATTTTTTTAATGCCTACATTAAAAAATAAGAAAAATCAAAAATCATGAAGTTAAACTGACAACGGGAATAGAAAAGGAAGAGCAAAAGAAGCCAAAAGCTACCAGAAAAAAGAAATAATAAATATCAGGGCAGAAATAAGCAACATTGAAAATTCAAAAACAGTTGAAAGAATTAACAAAACTAGAAGTTTCTTTGAAAGGATCAATAAAATAGATAAACTACTGGCTAGATAAAAGAAAAAAACCAGAAGATGAAAATAACCAGGTTAAGAGATGAAATTGGTGACATTACAACCAATCCAACACAGATAAAGAAGATCATAACTGATGACTATGAAAAATTGTACTCCAACAAATTTGAAAACCTAGGTTGAATGGACAAATTCCTAGAAACACACTACTTACCCATACTAACACAAACAGAAGTAGAAAATCTAAACAGACTTATTACAAAAGAAGAGATAGAAGATGTCATCAAAAAACTGCCAACAAAAAAAGCCCATACCAGATGGTTATACTGGATAATTATCCCAAACATTCAGAGAAGAGTTGACACCAATCCTATTCAATTTCTTCAAAAACATAGAAGAGGAAGGAACACTACTGAGTTCTTTCTATGAAGCCATCATAACCCTGATACTTAAACCAGGAGAAGACATAACAAAAAAGAAAATTACAGACCAATGTCCCTTACGAGCATAGAAGGAAAATTTTTCAATAAAATTCTTGCAAACAGACTTCAGCAACATATCAAAAAAATCATACACTATATGATCAAGTGGGATTTATACCAGGATTATGAGGGTGGTTCAGCATTAGAAAATCAATCTATTTAATCCACCATATAAATAAAAAGAAGGAAAAGAATCATATATGATCATATCAATTAATGCAAAAAAGGCATTCCATAAAATTCAACACCCTTTCCTGATAAAAACTCTGAGCAAAATAGGAATAGAAAGGAAATTTCTCAACATAATTAAGGGCATATATGCAAAACCAACAGCCAACATTATACTCAACAGAGAAAAGCTGGGAGCGTTCTCTTTGAGAACATGAATAAGACAAAGATGCCCATAATCACCACTCTTATTCAACATTGTACTGGAAGTCCTAGCCAGAGCAATAAGAAAAGAAAGAGAAATAAAGGTATCAAAATTGGAAAGGAAGTATAACTAGCTCTATTTGCAGATGACATGATCCTATACATAGAAAAGCCTAAAGATTCCACAAGAAAAGCTGCTGGAACTAATAGAAGAATTTAGCAACATTGCAGGGTACAAGACCAACACACAAAAATCACATGGGTTCCTCTACACTAACAAACACTACTCTGAAAAAGAAATCAAGAAAATAATACCATTTACAATAGCCCCCAAATGGATAAAATACCTTGGAATTAACCTAACCAGGGACATAAAAGACTTATACACTGAAAATTATAAAACACTACTACAGGAGACTAAAAGAGATGTGCAAAAACATGGAAAGACATACCATGTTCATGGATTGGAAGACTTAGTAAGTCTACAAGAGCCACGACCTCATCTACCCTGAGACCAGAAGAATTACGTGGTGCCTGGCTACCACCACTGACTGTTCTGACTTAGGCCACAATAGTTGGTCATGGATAGAATGAGAGAAAAATATGAAGCAGAAAACAAATTCTTATTTAAAGAAAAAAAAGACAGACTGCAACAGTAAAGAAGAGAGGACCCCCTGAGACTATCACCCTGAGACACTTTTTAAACCTAGAACCAAGCCTGTCCCCTGAGATCACCTTTTAGCAAAATAGCAGAGTGGCACACAAAATAAAGGATATTACCTGTATGATAGGTGCCCTATTTAAAAACTATCAGCATGAGACCAAAAGGTCAACAATCTCTCAAAAGCAAAGATGAGAGGATGAAGGGGACAAGGGAGCTAGAGTACTGGAAAGGGAACAAACAGAGCACAATTAAAGAGAATGTTGACACATTGTAATAAATGTAACTAATATCACTGAACAACTTACGTGGAAATTGTCAAATGGGAACCTAACTTGCTTTGTAAACTTTCACCAAAAACTCAATAAAATATTATTGAAATATATATATATATATATTAAGCATCCCTAAGAATTTGAAAACACCGTTTAGCTCTTACCAGCTCTGTATTTTGAATTTATACTATCCATGTGGTCTGGGAAAAAATGCAAGCTATTAGAAAGTTATCATTAAGGGAAAGGTATCATCAACTCATACCCCTTATTGGCAGAAGTTTGGTTCAGCCAAAAAAAATTTTAAAAATATAGAAGAAAACAAGCCACCTCAAACTAGAGTCAGCAAAGCAAATAAAAGATTTAGAAGGCAAATACTTCAGCTATTGGGACAATTACATATAGAATATACCATATGTATTTATGGAATGTTCAAAGAAATAAAAGATAAAACCAAAAAGTAATTATGGGAGGAACATCAGCAAAAATAGTAGAGTAGGAAACTCCAAAAGTCTGTCCCTCCACAAAAGCAGTGAATAAGACTTCAGTGACTTCACAGACATCAGTGACCACACACAACAAAGAATACAGTCTTTGGAAATATAGTTGAGAAATTTCAGTAAACCACTACAGCCCACAACAAGCAGCAACAACAAACCCTGCAGAAAGGCAAGAATCTTATGTCCAGAGTTACCACATTATAATATTAAAGATCTGTAAGTTGAAACAAATGATCATAAGACATGCAAAGAAACAAGAAAATACAGCCTATTAACAGGAAAAATATATATAATAGAAACTATCCATGAGAGATCTTAGACATTGAACTTATTAGACATGTACCTTAAATCAACTATTTTAAGTATGCTCATAGAGCTAAAGTAAACCATAAAGAAGGAACTAAAACTATGAGAATGATATCTCACAAAATAGAGAATATCAATAAGAGAATTTGTAAAAAGAAACCATACAGAAATTCTGGAGTAGAAATTACAATAACTGAAGTGAAAATTTCACTAGAGAGGTTCAGCTGCAGGTTTGAGTAGGCAAAAGAAAGAATCAGCAAACTTGAAGATAGGTCAATTGAGATTACCCACTCTGAGTAGTATAAAGAAAAAAGATAGAAGAAAAATACATCAAGTGTACCATCGTATGCATATGGGGAGTCCTGCAAGTAGAGAAGAAAGAGAAAGACGAAAAAGGAATATTTGAAATAATGGCCACAGACTTCCCAAATTTGATGAAAAACATGGATCTACACATCAAAGAAGCACAACACATCCCAGTGAGGATAAATTCAAAGAGATCCTCACTGAGACACATTATTATCAAATGGTTGAAAGCCATAGACAAAGAGAGAGTCCTGAAAACAGCAGAAGAGAAGTGACTTGGCATATACAAAGGACCCTCGATAAGATTAACAGCCTGTTTCTCATCAGAAACTATGGAGACCAGAAGGCAGTGGGATGTGATATTCAAAGTGCTGAAAGACAAAAACTGTCAACCAAGAATTCTGTATCCAGCAAAACTATCCTTCAGAATGAAGAAATTGAGACATTCCCAGATAAACAAAAACTAAGAGAGTTTGTCACTAGTAGTACTGCCCTACGTGAATGCTAAAGGGAATCCTATGGGCTGAAATGAAAGATCACTGTGCAGTAACTCCAGTCCACACCAAGAAATAAGGATAACTACATAGGTTAAAAAAAGAAAAGAAAAAAACAATTTGAGAATAAACCTGCTTAATCCTTCTACTTTACCCAAGAAAGTCAGCCCCTCAATCATTTAAAATCTTACATTGCACTGGAGTGTAGCAGCCTTGGAGGCCCCAAACAATGGGAGAGATCAGAAGACTGTTACCTTCAACTCAAAAGACTTTCTGCCTTTCCTTGTTTTATACATATTTCTCTTAAGGGAAAAATCTGACATTACAAATAGGTTAAATAACCTGTGGTAGAAGGCATGGACATGTATAACCACTGAGGTAGCTGAAGCTAGTGATGTCTATATAAATAACTGATGCTTATTTAACCATGCTAGAATGTTCTGTAGGACCATCTGGTTTTTAAAACCCATGCATAGAAATTTTACATGGTTTTACATGGCATCACCATGAGGTGGACTCAACAGCAACTGTTTGTTCTAAAGAGCTAGCCAGGTGCTTAGCCATTGGACAAGTCTGTTCTGCCTACTTGGGAATAGATGGGTCTCAGCAAATACATATTTTCTATGTATGTCACTAGGCTAATTGGAAATTTTGTTTGGAAGCTTTTCTATGACTTTTCCCACTTCAGTACCCTCAGCCCAACCCAAACCGAGCCCCAAATAACTGAGGATAAATTATTTTAGTAGACAGCTGAAGAGGGCTGTGATTGTCTTCCCTTTCAACATGTCATCTTCCCACATCATAAATCCACAACCAACTGCTACAGTTGTAGGAAAGATGCCAGCATATTATACATGGGCAATTTGCCGCTCAGTTATAGAGCCTTCTGCCACACTGTCTAGTATTAAAAATGATTTTCTGTGTGGCCTAATAGAAGCTGGAGGGAAAAGTCATCATTTAGTATTTCTATCAGCGAAAGGAATCTGATGGAAACCAATTTAATAGAGAAGATCCCATTGACTAGTTTGAAAAGGATTACAGAGGTTGGGTGAGAACACGGTAGCCACCATGCTCTGATACAACCTTATGTTGACTTTGCAGGCTTCCAGAGTCTGTACCCTCAGGCCCCAACCACTCAGCAGGGGAAAACAAGAACTTACCTGCAGCTGCTTCCCTAAAATCTGATTCCGAATTGTCAACTGCTTCGACAGCTAAACAGTACTACTTGAAACAGTCAAGATACCTTCCAGGTAAGTAGAGAAAATAAAATGTTTACTACTAACTAGAATATGGTTAGGTCAGGCCCAGATGTCTTGAAATCTTCAAAGAAAGAACACCAAAGAAATAAAAAGTGTAATCACAGTGTTCTTTGCTGGCTTCAGCCTGTCTCTACGTACTTTTCTGAACCTCCTGCCCCTGCCATTTGTTGAAGTTTGCTCAAGAAATGCATAGCAGCCAAAACCAAGATTATTATGCTTCAAAAAATAATTCCCTCACTCCCATCCACCAAAGCTATAATTTGGAGACTAGTTTTGTTTAAAAAACAAAATTACATTAATTCCTAGGAAATAGAGTTAGTAAACGCTAAATTTTATTAAAACAATTCTGCACACCCATTATAACTTTTTATACAATGGAGAAGTTTTTGCCCTGTTTCCCTAAAATGATCTGATTTATCTTTTTAAAAGATCATTCTACTTGCTGGGTAGAGAATGCTAGGAGCTCCGAGGGGCCAGGAGATGGTTAAGAAAGAGGTCATTGCTGATGTTCAGATGGGAGAGTGATGGCTTGTTCCAGAGTGGTAGAAGTAGAGACAGAAGTGGATAAAATCTCGATATAGCTTGGTGATGGATGGAACCAATAGGACTTGTTGATAGATTGACATGAGTGGTGGTGAAAGAATGTGAGGAATTAGTGTTGGCTTCTGGGTTTTTGACTTGGCAACTGGGTGGTGATATTTTTAATTGAGAGAACGAGAGGCTTAGGAAAGGATAGGATTATGGAGGCAGAGAATCAAGAGTTGAATTTGGGATGCCTACTGAACACCCAGGTTGATCTATCTGATAGACAGTTGAATATATGAATTTGAAGATTAGGAGAAAGATCTGGATAGACAGTGGGGGGGTTTATGATGTGCCTTCAAGTAGCATTTTCTCTGAATCTACTTTAAAAACAAAATTTAAAAATTCACTTTAATCTAAAAGAATCAATTTTTAAATCACTGTGTATCTATCTGTAGAGTTACATCTGTAGTGCAATAAGAGGAGATGGTCTTTTTCTTTTGTGTTTTCGTGGGCATGACCATTTATAGCTTTCTAAATGCAGTCAGCATGCTCTGGGTTCATCTGAGAAAGAGTTGCCCTTTATATCTAAGTCTCCTGAAGTCAGCCCATAGTCTTTAATATCTCAGAACCTTGTTGGGGAGGTAAGGGTAGGGAAAATGAGAGAAAAGGTTGAAGCTAAATTGTTAGCAGCAAGAGATTCATGCTTAACATACTTTTTTGTTTATCTTTTAGGCAACCCTATAAATTTCAGTTCCACAAATCCAGTAGGGGTTCACTCCTATTGTCAACAATTGGGGAAAGGAAAAAATGGAGCTGAGCAAAGGGTTTAGAAATGGAGGGTATAGAAAACTGAAGTCATAGTGGGTATGTAGGGTTTGGCAGCACGTGTTGAATAGGTTGAAATAAACTTATGAAAAGAAAATCAGGGCTTTAGGGTGCACTGTTGTCCTGCTTGGTAAGGAGGAAGCTGAAATGTGTCTAAGAGAGGTGGAAGAGATAAGTATGACGGTATCAAGGGCAGAGCTAAAACTATATAACTCTGGGTACTGTGGAGAAATTATTGAGAAGCAATTGCAAAGATCTAAGTGGGTTGGTGCTCACTCATCTATGCCAAGCAACTTGGAAGACAGCTTCCTGACCAACTGACTGGAAGAGATCCATATTTGTGCCCATTCCAAAGAAAGGTGATCCAACAGAATGCAGAAATTATCGAACAATATCACCAATATCACACGCAAGTAAAATTTTGCTGAAGACAATTCAAAAGTGCTTGCAGCAATACATCCACAAGGAACTGCCAGAAATTCAGGCTGGATTCAGAAGAGAACCTGGAACAAAGGATATCATTGCTGATGTCAGATGGAGCTTGGCTGAAAGCAGAGTATGCAAGAAAGATGTTTACCTGTGTTTTATTGACTATGCAAAGGTGTTTGACTGTGTGGATCATAAATTATGAATAGTATTGTGAAGAATGGGAATTTCAGACCACTTAATTGTGCTCAGTGAGGGACCTGTCCATAGACCAAGAGGCAGTCGTTCGAACAGACCAAGAGGATACTGCGTGGTTTAAAATAAGGAAAGATGTGTGTCAGGGTTGTATCCTTTCACCATGCTTATTCAGTCTGTATACTGAGCAAATAATCTGGGAAGCTGGACTACGTGAAGAAGAATGCAGCATCACATTTGGAGGAAGACTCACTAATGACCTGAGGATGACACAACCTTGCTTGCTGAAAGAGGACTTGGAAGACTTACTGATGAAGATCAAAAACTACAGCCTTCACTATGGATTACACCTCAACATAAAGAAAACAAAAATCCTCACAACTGGACCAATAAGCAACATCATGATAAGTGTAGAAAATATTGAAGTTGCCAAGGATTTTACTGGGATCCACAATCAACACCCATGGAAGCAGCAGTCAAGAAATCAAAATGACATATTGCATTGGGCAAATCTGCTGCGAAAGACCTCTTTAAAGAGTTAAAAGGCAAAGATGTCACTTTGAAATCTCAGGTGCGCCTGATCCAAGCCATGGTATTTTCAGTTGCCTCAAATACATGCGAAAGCTGGATAATGAATAAGGAAGACTGAAGAAGAATTGATGCCTTTAAATTACGGTGTTGGCAAAGAATACTGAATATACCATGGACTGCCAGAAGAACGAACAAATCTGTCTTGGAAGAAGTATAGTCAGAATGTTCCTTTAGAAGCAAGGATGGCAAGACTTTGCCTCTGTACTTTGGACATGTTATCAGGAGGGACCAGTCCCCAGAGAAGGACATCATGCTTGGTAAAGTAGAGGGTCAGTTAAGGAGAGGAAGACCCTCAATGAGATGGACTAACAGCGGCTGCAGTGATGGGCACAAGCAGAGCAATGATTGTCAGAATGGCGCAGGACCGGGCAGTGTTTCGTTCTGTTGTACATAGGGTCACTATGAGTCAGAAGTGACTGGAAGGCACCTAGCGACAACAAGTTGGTTAAATAATGTTTGTTTTGTTTTAAGTAAATTATTTAGGCTCTGTGGCACCAGGGTAAGACATGGGACATAGACCTGAGAAAACCTGTCTTATAAGATTAGAAAAACCTGTACATCTCCATAGAGAAAGACAGAGGAGAAGAAATTATGTTATTTTATTAGTTACATATACCAAATGAATTTACAAGAGTGTCCTTAAAATAGCTACAGAGAGAGATCCTGACTCTTGTGAGCAAGGGATGAGAATTAGAAAATTCACTACACGGCAAAATTTTACTAATATAAGATGTGAACATGGCATTTTCTGGTCTCTTTTGTATTCATTTTCTTCTTTTAGTTTTTTTAAAAATTGGAAATATTTTATGAGTTTTTGGAAATATATTCTTGATTTTAAAATCCCTTTTTTTCCCCCATATGTCAAAATTTCACAGCTGTGAACTCTCCTACAGTTTGAGAAAGATTATTCTATTTGTAACATTGCACTTTGATTCTTGAAAATGAGAAAAGTTTTTCAAGTTATTCTAATTTTTTGTACAGGGCATTTTCATACAGTTGCACTAATAGGATGAGAATTTGCCCACACATTTCTTTACAGTCAGACTGTAAAAATGATAGTACTCATTTAGGCTGCTTCGTCTTAGGTTCCTGTGGGACACGGAGAAAATCAGGATGCTCTGATGGGTCACAGGCAACAGAAGCTTCTAGAACCCCACTCCAGTCTGAGGGTCGCCTTACTCTTAGTTTTCCAGTCAGGACTTTCTGAAGGAGTAATGTCCAAGGAGTAGGCCAGAATGCCTCCTCCCCAAGCTCTGCAAGGCTGGATACAGATTTACCATTTAGCCAAATAGTATACTTATCCAAAAAAAACTAGCCCATTGCTGTTGAGTGGATTCCAACTCAGCAACATACTAGGACAAAGTAGAACTGCCCCATAGGGTTTCCAATGCTGTAATTGTTACAGAAGCAGACTGTCTCATCTTTCTTCCAAGGCCAAGGAGTGGCTGGTGGGTTTGAACCACCTACCTTTTGCTTAGCAGCCATAGGCTTCAACCACTGTGCCACAAGGGCTCCTTTTCGTATCAGAAAAGATTATATAATAGTGCTTCTTGGATAATTAAGACATTTCATGGCTGCCTATTTGTTTCCCACCCCTTTGATAGCACTTCTTAGAAATGCCTGTGTTTAGTCATCCTGTCTTTCCCTCGTACGAGAAGCTTATGTTGATTGTGCAGGGGATTCCCAGAGGGAAATGAGGCAGGTCCTGCTCTCAGGGATCCCTGGGGCAGAATGAACAATTAACTGTAACAAACAGCAATGAGTCCGAAGGCACAGAGGAGGGCCCGCATTCCTGCCTGGAGGGCGTGGAAAAACCTTTATGCAAAAGTTGAGGGAGCTGGTCCTTAAAGAATAAATACCAGCCACCTCCCCAAGCAGAAAAGGGAAAACATTCTAGGATGAGTGGGCACCATGAGTGTTCATTTCTTGACCCAGTTGATTGATTCATTCATTTTATTCTTTCACTCAGGAATATATATTAAGTGCCCAGTGGGTGCCAGGAACTTACTGTTCTAGGCGTTGGATGTATAACATTTTCGTACTTACCCTATGCTGCTATAACACAAGTACCACAAGTAGTTGGCTTTAAAGAAGAGAAATTTATTGTCTCACAGTTTCGGAAGCTTGAAGTCCAAATCAGGGTACTGGCTGTAGGTGAGGGTCCGTCCTTGTTGGCAGCCAGGGTGTCACTTGGCTTGTAGACAGTTGCTCACATGGGCTCTTCCCCCTGTGTGTCTCTCTGTGTCTGTTTTCCCTTTTTATGACGCTACTCAGAAGAGATTCGGTTTAGCGCCCACCCTGCTCTGGTAGGACTTTATTAACATAACAGAAGAAAAGCCAAGTAGGGTCACAGGCACAGGGGTTAGGAATTCAGCATATGTTTTGGGGAACACAGTTCAGTTCACTGCAGCATTAAGAAAACAGACAAG